GGTCGGTGATCCTTTTCCTAGTTTCCTTATCACGAGCTTACATCCGACGACGAGCTTGCGACTCGGCCCGCCACCGAGAGAAAAGAACATTCCCGTGGAGCAACTCGAGAGAGCCGTTATTCCACTCGCAGTTGGAACGGCGTTATTGGAAAGCTGGGCATTCAACATGCATAGAATTTCCGAGGGTGTCGTTCGAACGGCCAATTAGAATTCACGTGGAATCTCCACCGTTTACCCCGCGACGGAATTGTTTGCGAGTTACACAGAGTGCTTCCCCGTCCAAAGATGCATAGATTTCCTCGCTTCGTCGACTCTGTCCGTACGAAAGAATCTGATGAGATTCATAATTTTGACGCACGATACTCCACTGCATTCTTTAACGCGTTCAAAGTCGTATTTATAATTTATACGCATGGTACGGATCCAAAATGTCGTGTATATCAATCTTAGTATATATTGTATGTTGTTTAGAATTTGTGTACGATCATCGAGATCACTGCATTGGTTTTAAACGATGTACGAGGGGTGATTCCTTATGGAAATTGAAGTCGAACGCCTATCGAGTTGTTGCAAGTGAAAGAGCCTTTTCTTCATAATTCATTAAAAATCATTTCTATCCATTTATGGAAAATTTTAGATGATTGAGATTCATTTGTCGACTGTTTTTCGATATATAGGAGTATTCGAAAAAGTGACTAATTTACAGGAACTATCCTTTAATATACAGAGATACAAAGACGGTAATTGAATTAAAACAGACAAAGAATTTCCACGATTGTTTCGAAAAATGTTAAATTCTAGATTACGTAGCAATTTACATTCATTCGATGAAAATTTGGTATGAAATATAATATGACGCCAGAGAGCGTCTACCTAAAATTCTCGCGACGGTTAACGCGTTAAAGCGAAATTTCGATGCGAAAGTCCCGAAGTTACAACATAGAAATTTGAGGAAAATTGAGTCCTTAGAAGAGGAGTTGATTATATATTCCGTGTTAGGCGTGCTTTTATAGAAGACGTTACCTTCAACCAAGTTTCTCCTGGTTCTGACATCACGTGATTGAGAGACCGATTACCCTTGGCTCTACTTGGCGAAAACGGGGACAAGGGCCATTTTTCATCCCGCCTTGTACAGGATTCGTACAGCTGCTCCATGGTGAATATTAATGTATCGATCGCTAGAAAATAAACTAGCCCAAATATTAAAGAAAAATTTGTCTCGCGTGTTAGGTGTCTTCGCAAATTAAGAAAAGAAAAAAAAAATTATTATTTACCGATACGAACGGAAATCCAAGACTTGCTATATATCAAAATCGTGACAGTTATTTATGTACGAGTGTACCAAATATTCAACGTCGTTACAAAAATATCGAAATTCAGAGGAAGATGGAAAATTCTAAACACACTCGCTTCTAGAGATTTATTCATATGATTTTCAATTTATTTCTCGATGGTCAAAATTGGATCGCCGAGAAAACAATCTGAAATTTTTATTTCCTTTGTTAACGATGTCGTTACGAGTTTTTCAATCCATCGAAAGTGTCCACGGTGTCGCTGGCGCGTAGGAAATTTTAATATCTCTCGCGGATCGTTCCGATCGTTCGAGAAATCATAAAACCACTCCGACCTTTGGTATCGCGTGGACATTTATCCTTGGCATGTCCAGAGTATTAGATTTAAAAATTAGCGACATCGCTGTATCGTCATTCGCGCTTGTATCGTTTTCCTTTTTCGAAACGCGTTTGCATAACCGAGCAGACGTTTAAATTTTAATGGCATTCCGCGACTAATTTATAGGAGAAGTTGTCATCGAAAGTTGCTCCTCCGGAGCCTCGCCCACGCGTTATGAAAACGTAATGAGTGCATCCTCGATGGACGGTTCGTAAACGACTACTGAAAGTTTAATTACAATTCCGCGATTTACATAAATACCGCTGGTCGATTAGTCTCTTCGAAGCAGCCGCATCGGATTATCCTACAATCGTTCGTTTTATTTCAGTATTTATTTTACTTGTAAAACGACTGGAATTTAGTTTTTCTGACATTCAGTTTCGACAACTGGAAGTTTCATATTGGAAACTCGTAATCGATACAAACTTGAGCGAACTTTTTGGTCTGGACTATGAAATCGAAATAAAATGTATCGGAAAAATCTGTTCGTTTCGACGAGGCAAAATGGTACTGACGTTTTTTTATTTGGTTTTAATTTAAATTCCCTCGAATCTATTCACTGTTTGTATAAATCTTCTCCTTTTTCAATATTTGACGTTGAAAACTGGAGAAGTGTTTATTTCGCTACCCCTTTCCCGGAAGTTCCTTGCGATGCCGACGGCGAGTGCATGCAAATTCGCTGGGAGAAGCGATTCGGAAGAAAACGAGCAAGCACTCCGGACGGATTATCCCGGGGCACGATGTTCTCTGAGCTATCTGCTTTACTTTTCTTTAATCAAGGTCAGGGAACACTGCGCTAGCCCAACGAGAGAAGATGAAACGTCCGGTGTCCCCTTTTTCTGCTTCCTCTGCCCGCTCAATTTTCCAAATTTTCCAAAAATAACGCGCCACGTTGGTGCTCTCGAAGAAATTAAATAGAGGAAAGGGTGGTATTTTTTACCTCCAGTTTTATATTTCTCCTTAAAATCTAATTTTTTATCTCATTCTAGCATAAATTTCGAATTTAATTATATTTTTGTTTAGGAGAAACATCAAAGATAGGACTTAGAGATACCATATAGTTTTTAATTTCTCTTTATGACAAAATAATGAACAACTCTTAAGAAAATTGAATGACTTTCATCGGCCCTGCGAACCGAACATTCGCGTTATCAGCAAGCTTGAAGCCTCGACGATGGTTTGGCAGCGACGATAGCGTTTAGTTGGCAACTAATTGGAAACCAACTAAAGCTCGCGGCTGCGGAGATTCGGTTTTGTCGTTAGTCGTGAAACGTGGACTTTTTGCACGACAGAGTGGATCAACGGTGTTTGCTACTTTCTACCTGGAGGAGAAATTCCAGAATTAGAGACGGGAACAATCGTAATCTTATAGTTGCTATACCTTTTAAAATGCAAACTAACTCAGCCAGCGGTAATATTAGTTTATATAGGAATATGTTTAGGTATTTATCATTCATGATAAAAGGATTTAAAAAGCACGCTAGACGCGTTTATAGCAATTTTCAAGAGTATGATCTTTCGTTCTATTTCTTAAGCAAGTGAAAGTGTTTGAAAGGAATATTGTCAACGAAAACAATAACATTTCTGACGAATAATACCTACGAACGTTGAGGCACGAATCGAGCAACATTTTCATACGGCAGACGCAACAACTGTTTACGTAAACCTTGATAAATTGTGTGATATTTAGGTGGTTTTGAGTTGTTTTTCCGCGCCATTGTCAGGAAAAAGGGAATCGAGAGATATTTCGTTCCGCATCGAGGAATAATGGCATTGGAAAGCTTCGCGGCTCTTGAAAGTCGTTTGTGTAATGCACGTCAGGCGAACGCGCCGGTGGCACCTGTCAATAGTTTCAAGAGGAAGTTTCACCATAGCTTCACCAGCCCCGGGAAGACAGTCCGTGCGTCCGCCAGCATTGCCTGCTCTTTGACAGTCGATACAACGACTTTGTATACACTCTTTTTCCCCCCGACCATCGACGGGCTTTGTAAACGAACCGCGCAATCACCGGAGAAAATCGTTCGACGCGGTATCATTTTCGCTTTGCGGTCTGGCGATGCTTTCGCGAGCCTTCTGTGCCGCTCGATGAAAAAACGTATCGCGGGAGAACGATGTTTTAATTAGAACGAGCGCCCGTTAAATGCTCCGACTACTCTCGCGGGCTCTGTGAATTTTAAGGCGCCATAATTCTCGTTGCGTCGGGTCCTTAGTCATACGCGATCCCCCGCTTCCGGGGAAGATTTAGTCGAGGACGTGTCGTTGATTAGTAACAGTAATTAAACTTGGCAAGGCCACGGGAGAGAAATTATAAAGCTACAAATATCGCAACCTCGCTCGTTGTACCCGAAACACGGAACTTTATCGAAATATTAACCGTTACGAAAGTGACCTTCGTATCTTGACAAAAAACCGATAAAACCCATGCAACCACTATCCAAGACATTCTTTTCTACAAGTTAATTCAATTATAAAATTCGTTGATCAAGTTTTACCAACAATTGAAAGTCTCGGAATTACAAAAGCAAAACATCCCCTGTGTTTCGTTCCGACCCGAACGTGCAGTCTCGCATGCAGTCTAGGCAAAAAAGCACGCGTCTCCTGGTAGAACGGTTCGATTGGTACGTTGCCCACGGTCCTCCGTAATAAATTCGTCCCGGAGCAAACGCCTGGTACACGGCACATAAATTTCGTGCGAAAAACACACCGCGGAGGCCCGGTTCGACCCAGAGGCGGGAGAGAATATTCCCCGAATACAATTAAGCAATTATCGGAACTCGACCCGCAGACGTCAAAGGAAAGTTCGTAACTTAATCCTCGAACGCTGTAACCTAATTTCTCCTAATTTCGTGGAAGAGGGGGGTAGGGACGAGGGGCTGTTAAACCGTATACACGAAATTGTTTCGACGATCCCAGCGTGTGCACGGTGTTTCTGTTTTCTGGGGAAATGTCTTGGGAGCGTCGGTGTACCGGCCGAGCGGCGTTGAAAGGCAAAAAAGCCGTGGCGCGGGGCGGAATTGTCTCGGCATGCGGACACTTTGGTTAGCAGCCCGGAAGCACGGTCGGGTCTCGTGGTAGCGGGAACCCCGAAGGAAAGACATTCACCCTGGCGATGGCGCACGTAAACGCAGGAGATGCACGTTAGAGCACATTGGTCGTTGGTTCGTTGGGTCGGCCGACACGGATGATGCTCTCGGGGGTCGGGACAAGCTCCGGAGAAGCTCTGATCATGGCGGTCGTGCGGGGCTTCGCGTCTGCGCACCGTCCTGGAAATCGCGGAGTCGGTGCGCGAGGGGCGCGTGGCGGCACCGGGGGTGTCAGTCACGGCCCATCTGCCCACCATCGAGCACGTAAGTCCGCAATCGGTTACTCTTTTTCTCCCTCTGTGAGACCACTTCCATCGCGGACCCCCTTAATTCGCTCCACCTTTCCTATCGTTGCCAGCCACGTTTCCTATTCATCTCGTTTCTCGATCCTTCGTCTTCATCCCTTCGTTCGACTCGTTTCTCGCCGAGTCCCCCCCCGTTGCATCGTCCCTGTTTCCCCGTTTCCATTTTCGAGTCCCGTTAGTTAGTTTGCGATTTTCTCTTCTCTCGATATGGCCGACGTCGACGACGAGGCGAGAAGAAAATTTCGGCGGTGCGTGAATACGACGGATCACCGCGACACCGGGGCACGATCCACCCGCCGGTAGTTTCATTGATTATGTCGAAAATGGCGGGTACCGTTTACCGACGATTCCACGGATTTCCAGGGGGTTGAGCACACCAAGGGGGCAAGTGTTCGCGATTCGTTTTGTGCCGTTTCGCCACCGATGACCCGGGTGAAACCGTTTCTCGTCGGGACGAATCGACGTCTAGTGAGGGGAGACCCGTTGTCGGAAGTAAGGTGCACTTTATCGCATTTCTGTTCGACAGGAAATGGATTTCCTTTGGTGAAGCATCTTTCTCTCGACCGTGATCGTCGACGAGAGAGTCTCGTCGGTAGTCTCGCGGGAAACATTGCCCACGGACCGTGTCTTTTGCTCGGTATTGTGGGTACCCCGACGATTCGTTTACTCGAATCACTCGTTTTTCCATTTCGCTGAAACCTCGCGAGATTCCCGATACCGTGTTCCAGTGAAATTTTATTGGCAGCTTTTCGGTGATCGATAACGATGTAATTAATTCGGAGCTTGTTCTTACGAACGCGTAATTGTGGATCGTGCTCCCAGGACGCTGAATCACGTAAGTTCGCCGTAAGGCAACTGGAAAATTTTACACTCGCGTGTAACCCGCGATACGATTGTTTTGCTCATATTTTCCGAAGGAATTAATGTACACGAGGAGAGAACGTTCCGGAAAAAATTACCCCCTAATTAGGAGACCATTAATCACTCTTGGTAGTAACAAACACGGGCGAACGCAATTAGTCATCGAGTCGCCGTTTACCTTTTCCGTGTCGAGAACGCCTGGAATTAATTTTTCAGTCTGGAACGCGTAGGCGGCGGACGCGAGACTCGTGGAAACTTAGCTTCGAAATTTCCAGGTGCTTCCTCGCCAACTCTACGTACGTCGGCCAGTAAATATTCATATTGCACGTACGCGTGGTGTCTCGCGGAAGGTCAACCTGCTCCTTCGTGGAGGGTGAAAATGACCACGTGCGTCCCAATCACGGATAGTAATGGACGCCCGCGTAGATCTCTTGATCTCTGGCTAAGGGAACATTCGAATTATTTTGCTTCGATACTCCTCGCGTGCTAGCGTTCGATATTTAATTAATTCAATCGATACAGAGAAACTTTTTGGATATAGCATACGTAATTTTGCTATTTAAAATTTCCACGACGAAAATGAAATATTCTTCGATTTTGTTATAAAGTGTTTTCTTTTAAATTGCTTTTAGAAATTCTCTCTTTTAACAAGGCATCTTTCGCGAAGCTCGTAAGTCACTCTACCGAGCGCGACGGAAAATACTCCGAAGACGACGAAACTTTCCTAATTAATACCGACTCTCGTGTAAAGAAAGGAGAAAGTAGAGTCTTCCCTTGGCCCGAATATCCGATATAAAGGAAAATAAAAAAAAAGTAAAGGAAGAATGGTGCTCGAGCAGCGCCACGACCGATTTTTCGAGCGCACATTTTCAGCCTTCGAGCAGGATTTAATTAAACCGATACGATCGATCCTCGAAACGTCGTCGTTTGCCGAACGACCGAACTATTTCCGCAATGGTGTTTCTACTCGCGAGACATAGAATACCTCGCGCCGTGTATCTCGTCTTCCCAGGCTATTTAACCCGACTCGCGCTTAAACATTCCGCGCATTCAACGATTTAGGGACGGCCCGGTCAATTGACTCTCCAAACAGCCGGAGCGCGAAAGCCTTTCTTTGTTAAATGTTGATTTGTTGCCAGTGCACTGTGGCGTGGTTGCACCATCATCGACGTTGAAAACGACGCTACAGCGTCGACGTACGCGTTGGTCCATTTGCTAGGAATGCATCGCTGATATAACGCGTCCCGGTCGCAGCTGCGAGACAGGCGTAATCAAGGGAATACAGACGTCCCTGCACAGACACGATAAACCGCGAGTGGACGAGATTGATACGGTATCTCGATCCACCTTCCCCGCCGATGGCTATGGCATTTGCAATAACGTTTACCGAGCGGACGTTTAAGCCGCGACGGGATCGCGTGGATTTAATTCCAGGCCCGTTGCATTTTTATTCTGCTCTCTCTCTCTCTCTCTCCCCCTCTCTCATCCCTTCGCGTTTCTATTTTCGGTCGAGCTCGCGGTTTTGGATTTTAAAATCCCCGAGCACGGATTTGCAGTCACGGTATTCTCGTTAGCAACTCTTGATGCTGTACTTTTATACGAGCGTGCGGTCGAGTTCGCGGTGCGACCGCAAAAATGGCGGCCCCTCGTACGAAACCAACAAAGGACTCTATCGTTACGGGCGCATTTTCATTCGGAATGTCGAGCAAATCCGTTTCCCCTTCCATTGGACTTTTCGAAACTACGTATCGAAAACGTGCTTTGCAAGATTTCAACTCCGTTTAAGAAAAATTACCGGGAGTTACCTCGAAGGGAAAAGCTCGTATAAATTCGTACACCGAAAACTTTAATGGAGACGATCGCGACGCAGGATACAGAGGGTTTAAATATTTTGTTTAACTATTTGAAGATTTGATTTACGAGAATTCTAAATTTCTCGAAAGACTTGTCGGTGTCGTTAATCAGACCTGTTGCCCGGTTCGTCAAATCATAGCAATTAATACGAGTATTGCGTGACGAGGGTTGTTAGGATACGCGTGCACAAAACAATTTTCCTTAATTTAGCGATTACGCTCGTTACCAAGCCGATACCCTCGACGAGATTGCTTGCTATTCCTGACGCGACGGGACCCGTAAGTTTTTCTACGAAGGAATTAAAAAATTGTTGCATGCGTGTCGCAAGGTCGTTCGCCGACCCTCGAATTTTTTCCTCGTCGAAATCATAAAGAAATCAGGGATTCATCCGAGCCTCGCCTTTTAATTATCCAAAGGGGTAGATAAAAATCTGGAAAAAAAAATAATGTACGAGCACGAGAGACACACGACGGCCGTTGATCGCGCTTCAAGGTGTTCGACCCATGTGCAAAACATGGGAAACGCGTCGAATTGGAACGGCTGACAGTCGCGTGAGTCCGTGAACTAATTTTTCATAGGCAATCTGACTATTTTCGAAAGTCTAGCCACCCACGCGTCTCGCGATAACGATATTTTTAGACGCTCCAGCCACGATCGACCACCTTGTCATTATCTTTCGCGACGAGAATGTCCACGACATTCCGCAGTAATGTTAGATGCAAAGCTCTTTTCAGTGGAAATTAATTACCTTGATTATTTTCTTCATTTCTAGAGATGGAAACTTGTCGAGGGGAGTAAAATAACAATTCATACACACGCATGGAGTTTAGAAAGTATCAGAAAAATTATTCTCCCCTTTTTGGTTATTTCTTAGGCGTTTCACGATTAAACTAAAATTTCGTGATCAATCCATTCAGAGCAGGACTTATAAAATCATCTAAGTGTATATGCTGAATTCCTTTATATGCTACGGACAGTGTTAACATAATATTTATGAGTATATCTAGTGTTTACAGTAACGTAATAAACAAAAGTAAAGTGGAAAATAATCTAGCTTCGTAAGTGTTGTAATATTGCTATGAAAAGTTTCAACTAGTGGAGATAATCGATTCTTTTATACGAATCTATTCAGTTATAAGAACTATTTCTTCCCTGTTGAGTTCATATGAATACAGTTCTATCGTATTTCTCTTTCAACCAGTACTCTTGCTACAAAAATCAACGAAATGCATATCCTTAAATCGTAAAGCGTTTGAAAGTCTTCGTAGATTCGATTATGATCTGATAAACGAGCATGGTATGGCAAACATCCTTTCACGTTTGGGAACAACGGAGTCGTCTCGAACGACGAATGCGTCGATGTTCCCCGGAGGCTCGTGTGCTATTCGTTTTTCCATTTTCCTCCGTGAAGCAACGGGAAAACTGTCGCTCTGGACGACAAATGAGCGGCCTTGTCGTATCATATCGACGTTCCAAGCAATTTCGCGTCCCGGAGCGCGTAACTGGTTCGCTTTAAATAGGCTCGATTTACTCGAGCGATAACCAACGACAATCGTGCCTTCTCGCGATACATCTCCCTGTCGCTCTCTCCTTCGTTTTCTTGCCGGGCTTTCCGTTCGTTGTCTTCGCCGGACCTCGGCCGACCGCTTCCGCGGCGATTCTTCCGCTTCCGCGTCGCGCGGAAGTGCTCACGGTCGTTTGGTCACGCTACCAGGAGAGCTTAGAATTTCGGTTTAGTCGGAATCAATGGTACAACCTTGCCGACTGCCATTCGAAAGTCCAATCGCAGGAATAGGATCGACGAAGGGACGTTAAAAATCGAAAACGTAGCTCGAATTGACTTTGAACGATTATAAGTTTACCAAAGACACAAAAAACCTGTAAATGGCTTCTGGAAGAATTTATGGAACGGTAGAGAATTTTCAAGGATTTCCAAGATGGTGGAGAATATCTTCTCGATGAAGAGACGATTGAACATATCAAAGAACATACAGACGTGAGCTAGAAATTTTTACCGAACCCACGTGGAACAATAAAGAACTGTATTTATCGCGAGAAACGACGTTACTCGTGGGATAACATACCCGGAAAATGATTATTTCATCAACGACCTTCGCGTTCGCGAATGTAATCGCGCAGTTTCATTATACGCACTTTGTACGCGCGTTTAAAGATTTGCATTGAGCGCGATAAGCGAAGTGCACTTTTCCATTCACCGTTGGAGCAGGTACAGTCGAAGCTTAG